GAAATCACAATAGACCAAGAATGGTAGCAGTGACATCATGTAGCCGCTACAATTAAATAAAAAAATATATTTATGCTTTGTAAAGTCGCTCGATATCTTTGCTATGGATGAATTAGATCCCAACAAACTTTTGAACAAGCTCACGATCTACGAGCATACCAAGGAAAATATTGCGTTTACGTAGCAATCCTACTGCTACAACTTCATCTAATTTGCTATTGAGTAATAAAAATCTATAGCTGGTATCGGAAAGCCTGACAATCTTATTATTTTTTAGTTCTCGGGGCGGATTTGTATCGTGAGGACAGTTTTTGTCGCCAATCTCAGAAACAGCTTAACCGATTTGGATGCGGTTTTCACGAATGTATTTTATGGTAAGCTTCACTTAAAGTCATTTAATATTTGTTTTATTTCAATTGGTTCATAAATAAAAAAAGTTATGTCAATTTAATATAAAAACACAAGAAACATTTATTTGAAAAACGTTGTGTATACTTATGTACGCACGTAAGAAGTGATAGGTACTTCTTTGTTTTTTTTTGGAGCATTGAAATAAAAGCTTGTTTTTTTAAATGTTTTCATTTTTTTATGTTTCATACTTTTTTGCGTATTCTTCTCAGCAACACCTTTCATTTGATATACATATCATGGGGGCGCAAAATAAACAGTCCGTCATAATAAATTTTATAATGACGTTACTTTGCTTATTGTGTACCCATAACATATGAGTCACTATGGAAATAATAAACCGTCATTTTGTAACGTCCATCCGTCGTATTGGATTAAAAATGACAGCATTTAGAAAATCGTGCAGTCATGAGAGTCAAACGTGTGTGCCAAATTTCAGCTCAATCAGACAATTGGAAGTGGGTCAAATTTTACTTGTAAGATATGATTACAAACAGACACCGAGAAGACATATACACGTGTTGTGTATATAGAAATACCGGAATATATATCTTGAATATAGACATCTCACTATACTAAAGGGAGATTTAACGACTAACTTCACATTGTAGACAATAACCACTAACTTCATACTGTAGTCTAAATCTGTCGTATCGTAAAAAAATCACTCTCATCATATGGTTGAGCATATCAAACAGCGTTTTTGTCGAACGCTGGCGCACCCTGGTAACAGCTAAAACTCGGCTAAATTTTTTTTTTTTAAATAATTAATGTTCGGTGCAAAAAAATTCAAATCCATGAAATTGTGAACAAAATCCGCCTAGGGATGCACCCAAGCGAATCGAGGATAAGTCGTTTGTCTACCTATATGGAAATACCTATATGGTATTTAAAAAATCTGGTTGATATTGTGTACAGTCAGCAGTGTGCAATCTGTTGAACAATAATAAAAAGTTTCCGCTAAATAAAAATTGACATTCGGATTTTTTTTAGTCTTCATGTAGTATGTAGGGAAAAACAAGCACAAGGGATCAGGCAGGCATGGATCCAGAGTTAAACTTTGGGGGGCATCAGAGGCTGAAATATACATATAATAAAACAGTAACTTAGCAAAATCTGTACATTAAATATTTTTTAAAAACAATGACTTTTAAAAAAAATTAAAACCTTAAGTTTTATGGCTTTTAAACTTTAGCAGGTATATAAAGAACAAAAATCCGTAAACGCCCCCGCTGTCCAGCTACTCCCGAGAAATGGGGGAATGAAAAACGTTAAAATAGTTTTTCTTTTATTTATTTTTTATTTTTAATTTCTGTAATAATTTTTTGATTTTTATGAAACTAGGGGAATATAATCTTCGAAAATACATATAATATGCATTTTTTTTGACGTTGAAATGTTTAGTCGTGTCCGAGAAATTTATATTTTATGGTCTCGGGAGGCTTAAAATCAGCCTTCTATTCAAGTGGATGTTTACATTTAAAAAAAACTGTCGTTCAATTTTCAGATAGGGCTCATTTGTTACATCTTGCACTCTACTTTTTGAAAAAATAAAAACATTGTATGGTCGTACTGTGTAAACACCCTTATTTAAATTAAAGAAAAACTTAATTTGTTTCGAATTAGGTACTCAAAAAAATAATTTTGTATTATTCCTTCCTTTCTTAAGCTTCAAACTTCTTAAAAAAAATATATTTGGCGTTTTTAAGGTCACGACCCTCCATAAACCCCCCTCCCCCTCTCCCCCTCTCTCTCTCTCCCCCTCTCTCTCTCTCCCCCTCTCCCACTTCCAGGATCCACGCTTAGGACCAGGTTTAATAGATTTCTGTTTTCAAGTTTAATAGATTTCTGTTGACATCAAGTTGCATAATTTAAATGCATTTCAGTGAAACCTGTCCTTGATTCGCTGCTACTAATCTATGATGTCTTTTGACCGTGCTCATTTTTAACGTCTGGTGGTCGGGCAGGCGACAGATAGGATTGACTTCGCCCCAATATTGGCGACGTAGGTGCACCTTTCTGCGATGGTTGGGAACCTGGAGGGGTCACTGGGCTCGATGTTCGATTACCGGAAAACATCACTTAGTAGATGCAGCGTAACCTGATAACATAAAATTCATGGGCGCAGTTTAAATTTGCAATCAGATCTCACTTTTGATGTGGGAGATTGATAGGGAAAGAATTTACAACCATTTTAAATTACACATTTTATTTATAATAATAATACATTATTCAATTTACAAAAGCAATAATTTATAAAATAACTAGTAAAAAAACGAATAATTGAAAATATTGATTTTGTTCAAAATAATTAATAATAATTTATACTTTTAAATATAAAAATTATAACTCAATAAATAATTACTATAATTACAAAAATATTGTAAAAATGATACCGAGATTACCTGATAAGTATTTCTAACGAGTCAGAGCACTTATGAGTAAATTTCCGTGTTCACAACTGAACAGCTGAATCATCGAAATTGTTCAATTTAATTCTTATGCTGAATGACTTCTAGGAGTGCCGTTTGGGCACCATTTACTTCGCCAATGTCGCTTAGAATGGAGAAGACGCGTTATATATAGAATGACCGGTATAAAATATTTAAACAATTTTGATGAGTTCAAGTTATTTTTCCACGATTTATCTAAACGGGATTTTGCAATAGATAGAAGATCCTGACCGGATTTTGAAAAATGGTCTAATGACCCCACTATACGGCTGCTTTGGTACAAGAGTCAGCCGTATCGTTTCCAGCATCGAAATTGTTTCAAAAGGGTATTTATAACCGAATGTCGTTGTGGAAGTCACTGATAATATAACTGTCAAATTACATTTCCATAAAAATGCGAAGGTAGTGTTAAAAATTTAACAGAGTACCTAGATTTTATCTCCCACATACCTACATACAAACATACAGACATAAATGTATACAATTAAATTTTTTTGTATATTTGTTTGGAAGCCCTAATATGTAGATTATATATATATATATATATATATATATATATATATATATATATATATATATATATATATATAGTATTGATACCCTTCTCTTTTTTTGAAGTCGGTTAAAAATGACATGTCTGGAGACAGTGGTCAGTATATAACAATTACCTACATGTAATCATGAATCCCCGCAAGTAAGAAACTATCAAACTATTTTCCAGAAAGGAATAGAAATTACTAGAAAAGTTTCAAATTTTTCGAATACCAGAATTTTCTTTGTTTGTGCATATAAAAAGGGCGGTAATGTGTCGAGAGATCAGTTAAATTTCGGAATTGTGTAACTAGTGGTGGAAAATAGTGCTCAGGGACTGAGTTAAGCCGAAACAGTACATGTACTGCATGTGTTTATGGAACAAAGGTAATAAAACATCAGTAATGCAAAAGACATATTTTTACCGATCTTTTTTACCGATCCCAGAACCGATACTTTAATTACGGATCCGAGAATAAATAATATGTATAATATTATAAAAATATAAATTGAAATATTTATGGAATCAAAAAAATTTACGAAATATAATATAACCTGCAAATAATTATAATTCTAATTATTATGAAATAATGTTCTAAATTTATAAATTAAATGTATTATTCTTAAGTTTTAACAATTTCAATAATATCTAAATAAATAACAGATGAATATTAAATAACATTATTATGTATAATAAGTAAGGAACTAGTGTTACACTATATATTCAGACCTTTTTAACGCCACTGCTGGGCACGGGCCTCCCTTCAATACGAGGGGGGTCAGGTCATAGTCCACCACGCTTTCCAAGTGCAGGTTGGTGGACGGGTTAACGGTTTTCCTTCACCGTAAGGCAAGTGGTAATGTTAAAAATGAACCGGCTTCATTCGGTTTCCCAAGCGAGCGAGTACTGGACTACCACTAGCTGCTAATAATAATATAAATTATTAATTATATTTAAATATGATTTATATGTATTATATTAAAATTAATTACTTGTAATTCTGATATAAAATACTTATTTGTGTTTTCTTAAGTTGTCGTCCTGAGTGGAAAAATGTTGGACTAAATCGTTGTGTTTTGTTTTGACTTTATGCGATACGTCATTCTTTTTCGTAATGTTGTTTGAGGTGTTACTCTGACTTTGGATAAAATAACAAAAATTGTGTGCCGTTACAGTTTATACCGAATTTTACTTCGCCTACCTGACCTACTTATAAAAATACTCGTTTAATACAAGCTATTACCAAATTTAAGCAATCGGCATTGAAATTATATAACTATATAAAATATTCGTTGGTTATTACCGTTACCAATTAAATTGTTATTTCATATTCTATAACACGCTATTCTTAATTAATGCAATATGTACTTGTTCCATTTATTAAGTAAAATTATTTTTGTATGTGTACTTGATGCCTTGCTGCCACGCTGATCACGCTGGACACACGTCACAACCCGCACGTAGAACCCCACACTGGGCAATTATTTGATAAACATATTGCACTACATATTGTGTTATCTCTATTATCTTATTAGTTATTACCTTTTTACATGACATAATAAACATTAAGTGACGCTGTACAAGAATATGAAATTGGAATACTTTTACCTATAATTAAAACTATAATCCTCTTTTATCATGTCAGCCGCCTTTTCACCAATCATAATAGTGGGTATATTTGTGTTCCCACTCGGGATCCTGGGCATAATCGATGCATCGACTATTCGCAAACCTTTAATACTGTGTACACGTAACCTCTCATCAACGACCCCATCTGATCCCATGGCACATGAACCTACTGGATGTAAAAATGTCGTCACTGTATTCTTCACATAACATCGCCAATATTCGTCTGAAGCATAAGGTACACCATAACAACCTTTAACATCTAACTTTGCTACTTTCCCACCAACATTTTTATAATACGACGTGTTGACAAAATTTAACATAAATTTTATCCCTTCAGTCAACGTTGTCACATCGTGTTCATTCCTAAAATATCCTATCTCAATAATTGGATCATCAAAAGGATTACTACTTCTCAGTTTTACCTGGCCTCTTGATAAAGGATTCAAAAGACTGATCGTTGTAATGTCAACTTCATGAAATCTATTAGCTTTACCTAATGAAAAGCAATATTCTCTGTCGTAGTTGGCTATGCTTTGACAGGCATAATAAAAACCAGGAGCTATGGCAGCTCCTACATGAACATTGAAAATTAGAATGTTTGGTTTCAAACCATTACAATCATTACAAGATGTATTCACTCTTATTAAACCACATTGTATCGGAATAGGATATGAGTCTAATTCTGTAGGGATCAATAAATTTTGAAAAAATGTCTGAAAACCTTTTTGTCCCATAAAATATAAAGGAACAAGGGTATGGTCTTGCAAATTTTTGCCAACAGGAAGATCGGCTACAACATTTATATGATATCGTCTCAACATTTCGTGCGGGCCTATGCCGGATAGCATCAAGAGTTTTGGTGTCTCAATACTACCAGCAGATACAATTACTTCCTTATCAGCGTACACATTAATTAATTCACCCGATTTAAGTAAAACTCTAACACCATATGCTTGCTTACTGAGTGGATCAATTAATAAGTTGGTGACGCTCGCGAATTTTGTAATAAACAAATTAGTGCGATCCTTTGCAGGTTTTAGATATGCCTCAGCTGTGCTTGATCTCCGTCCGTCAGAAAATGTAAAGTGTGGGGTTGAAGCACCCAGAGTTTCTGGTCCATAGATTTCTACGAGTCTTTTTATGCCCATTTCTTCATAAGAATTTAAAACTATGTCATTAACTTTATTAAAATAAGCATTCATATTTGGTCTTGATATAGCAACTGGGCCGGATGTAGAATGTAAGTAAGCATTAGATGGATTTTCTAGAACAACAGTATCTGTCATACGCTCAAGTTTCTTAAAATAATGAAGGACTGTTTTCCAATCCCACCCAGGAGCTATAGTATTCCATTCGTCATAGTCTTCTGGGATGCCTCTTGCGTAAATTTCGTAGTTAGATGACGATGACCCTCCTAACATTTTCCCTCGTGACATGTATAACATGCCTCCAGGATGTGACTGTCCAATTCCTTTGTCGAGTTCTGCTAGATAGTCCCAATCGTATTCCGTGTGTGCAATAAACGCGAACATACTCGGCACCTGAATAAGTAAGATATAAAATACATATAATTATTTCTATTTTGTATTTATATTACTTCAAATATTTACTGGTCTTACTCGTTAATTTTGTGACATTAAGAACAAAGCAAATAATGCTTTAAGGTTTTAAAGAAAAGTTGCAAGATTTACAATAAATAATTACAATGATGTTTTATATACAATTTAATCCAACTGCTTCCTTGGTCTAGTGGCTAGCACGTAAGTCTGCTAGCCTTACGTGCTAGCCCTTAGTCATGAAGTTTTGGGTTTGATTCCAGGGTAAAGCCAACAATTACTCGGTTTTAAGTCATAAAATACTGTATAGCATGTGCCAATACGGAATGGAAAATTCAGATATACATACATACACATACGTACATATGTATACGGTATACCCTATGTACGTATGTATATCTCATTTTCCCATTCCGGATTGGATCGGCACGAGGATGTACCTACATACATATGTATGATATATATGTATATACGTACATCCTCGTACCTAACAATACACGATAAAATGTCGGTCCTGCACCTTAAATCTCATCGTTCGTGTCGAGTTGTGAATTAGAAGGACATTATAATTACAAAATATTATTATATTTTCATTATATTTACCGTACTTGAAGGTGGAGGATCGCCACCTGCATCTAAGAGAAGAACCTTCCAGTGATACACTTCACTCAGCCTCGCGGCGACTGTGGCACCAGCAGACCCCGCACCAACGACTATAAAGTCAAACGTATTCCCATCTGGAAAATAATATTCAAAAAAGCTCTAAATATAGTTACCAAACAGATTGTTAAATTACATGCTATTAAATACCATAATGAATTTATAATATAAAAAAATGTGTGTTCTTATGCACGAACGTAAGAAGTTATACATTTTTGGCATAAAAAAAATAACTTTATTTTATCCTGCGTGCCAAAAGGTACTATACGTTTGTAACGACGATAAAGTAACAAAATAAAGATATTAAATACTATTATTCAGCCCTTTTTAACGTACCACTGCTGAGCACAGGTCTCCTTTTAATACGAGGGGGATCAGGCCATAGTCCACCACGCTGGCCAAGTGCGGATTTTTGGACTTCACATGTCTTTCGAAAACTTGCTTGGTTCTACTTCTCTCAGACATGCAGACATGCATCTCACGATGTTTTCCTTCATCGTAAGGCAAGTGGTAATCATGTAGAAATGATTCGCACGTGAAAATATCAGAACTGCGAGACCCGGGATTTGAACCCGCTTCACTCGGTGTACCAAGTGAGCGCGCTACTACTGAGCTACCACTGCCTTTAATTGATAAAGATGTAATTAAAACATTATTTAATAAATGAGTATGGCTGCTGACAAGCAAAAAATTACTTTTGCTACTTATATGAATATAATTATGTATAGAAAATTAATGCATCAAAAATAATTAAAATAAATTATTTTATTATTATGTAATTACGTATAATTTAATAATTATGTACAAATATCTCGTGTCACGGTGTTTGTGGTCGCCCTCCTCCGAAACGGCTCGACCGATTTTAATTTTTTGTATATTTAGTAAGTATGAGAATAGGCAGTAAAGTATTTTTCGCCATTCCACCCCCTCTCCCCATTTATATAAATAAAACCAAAGAGTTTTTTTTTGGAAGATTGAACGCGGACGTAGCCGCGGGTCTATTAGTAATTTATAAATAACTAGCGGCTCACCCTCGCTTCGCTCGGGTTCACCTCTAGAATAGCACAAACAGATCTATCCCACGGGAACCGTTCATTTTTCCGGGATGAAAAGTAACTTGTTATTTGACCGGCAGTCTAAGGTATCAGCATGCCAAATTTTACGAAATTAGGTGCGTAAGTTGTTGTGTACTAAGCTGTATAAATTACTATAGTTTTTTAACTATCCCACGGAAACTCTTTAATTTTCTGGAATGAAAAGTATCTTAGATGTTGACCGGGGATATAAGGTACTACCATACAAAATTTAATTTAAACCGGTTCAATAGTTTCGGAGATTAGCCCGTACAAACAGACAAACAGAAGAGAAATAACCTCTACAGTTTTATTATATGTATAGATAGAATAGAATAAATAACGTATAATAAAACAGTAATGTATAATAATGAAAATAGTTATAGCGAGTGTACCTTAGGAGAAAGACATATACTATGTAGAACTTTTCTATAGACCTTTTTAGGACTTACAATTTTCTTGCACAATGTTTTGATCTATCTCTTAAGGTTGAGCCAACGTTAGCCATATAAATTTCTTGCCCTTGCTTTGATAGAAACAGTTATTGTGTTTTCGAGTAATCAATAATTTGCCTGTCGTAAAAGGTATCCTAAATGTTGACCCGAGTACTAAGTTTTATCACTACAAAATTTAGTTAAAATCGGTTGAGTACTTTTTGCGTGAAACGCGCACATCGATTTGACTAAGTTAGTTTTATTATACGTATAGATAAGAATAAATATTGCGAGTGTAACTTAGGAGATAGACATATACAATTCAGAACTTTTCTGTAGGACTTTTCAAGATGTACAATTTTTTTGTATATTGTTTTAATGTATGTATGTCTTAAGGCTTAGCCAGCGGAAGGTTTCTAAGGAGGACTCTATAAAACCAGTTATTGTATTTTCCCGTGGGAAAGAAAGATTTTCTTGAAGTAAAAGGTATCTAGGCAGTGGTATCCCAGTGGTAACGCGCTCGCTTGGGAAACCGAGTGAAGCAAGTTCAAATCCCGGGTCTCGCACCTCTGATATTTTCATGTGCGAATCATTTCTAACACAATTACCACTTGTCTTAACGGTGAAGTAAAACATCGTGAGGAAACCTGCATGCCTGAGAGAACCCAGCAAGTTTTCAAAATACATGTGAAGTCCGCCAACCTGCAACCCCTCGTACTGAAGGGAGGCCCGTGCCCAGCAGTGGGACGTTAAAAAGGGCTGAATACATACATACATACATACATAAATACATACAAAAGGTATCCTAAATGTTGACTCGAGTAATAAGTTATCACCAAATTTCGTTGAAATCGGTACATTACTTTTCGCGTGAAACGCTCACGCAAAAACAGACATACAGGCAAACAGACAAACAAACAACTTTTTAATAACTATAGTTTTGGGGTTTATGTTGTGTACATAATACGTTACAAATAAACAAAAACATCTATCCCACGGGAACAGTACATTATTCCGGGATAAAAAGTAACCTATTTCTTATTCTGATGTATGAACTATATATATTATTGTAAAGTTTCATCAAAATTCAATCAGTAGTTTTTGTGTACTAAGCTGTATAAGTTACTATAGTTTTTTGGCTATCCCACGGAAACTCTTTAATTTTCCGGGATGAAAAGTAGCTGGTTTGTTTAAGTCATGTATGAACTATATTATTGTAAGTTTTCATTAAAATCCAATCAGTAGTTTTTGTGTACTAAGCTGTATAAGTTGTTATAGTTTTTTAACTATCCCACGGGAACTCTTTAATTTTCCGGGATGAAAAGTATCTAAGATGTTGCACGGGGATATAAGGTACCACCATGCAAAATTTTATTTAAATCGGTCCAATAGATTCGGAGATTAGCCCGTACAAACAGGAAAACAGATAAACAGCTCGCTCGGGTTCGTCCATACCTACGAATATGTTGTATTATATCTTTAACCATTTGTCCAAATTACATGCAGTAAAAGGGAAAAGTCTTTTGTTTTAAACATTTTAGACGACAAATTTACTTATTTTGATAAGAATTCATAATTGTTGATAATATGACCAATAAACATGACCTACCGATTTAAATTATTTTTTTAATATAAAAAACTACTTTTTGTGACTTAAATATAAAAGTTAGACATATGCTGTCGCTGACTTTTTTGTAGGCATTATTAAGCTCTACAACTTTTCTCTAGAACATAATCATATATCTCTCACCGTTAATGCAGCGTTCGTAAGAAACCTTTTCGTTCGACCGTTTTTTCTCCGACTTACTTTGCAAATCCGACTACCACGAAAAAGCCTTTTCATTCTTCGCGTTAATATATAGCCTATGACACTCAGAAAGAACGTGGCTTTCTATTGGTAAAAGAATTTTGAAAATCGGTTCAGTAGATCCAGAGATTACCCCCTACAACGTCACAAACTCACAAACTCACAAACTCACAAACTCACAAACCCACAAACTCACAAACTCACAAGATCACAAACTTTACCTCTTTATAATATTAGTATAGATGTAAAAAAATAATAGATGTATACTTCCGTTGACCTCAATGATCCAAAAAATTCGGCCAGTGTCGCGAGACCAAGGAACCAAGTTCCTTTCGCTAATTCTCTATAGATACTGATAATATAATCAGTGTAATATTTCAACATTTTTTTAAAAATATGCCAATCACTTTGAACTAATTGTAAGTAACATAATTATTTTTTCTTATTGTTGAGCTCACATCACTTATTACGTAGAAAATATCTGATACCTATATCTATTCTAATTGAAATCCCCCGTTTAGTTTTTTTTTACATTTTAGTGCCTGGAAGTTGGTGTTATGTTATTTTTTTTGTTTTTATTTTTCCATTTTTTGTGTAGACGTAACTGCCTATTTTGTTAGAAGAAAGTTTTTTAATTAATAACATATTCGATTAAGCAATTTATATAAAAAATAATAATTTATTGTTGATTTTTTTAAAACCACTTGACTGATCTCACTAAAATTTAAATGGGGTCACCTGGGAAGTATAAATTTTGAAACAAAGAAAATCTCGAAATCGGTTCAGGCTTCGAGTAATCGGTGAACATACGAGTACATAAAAAAGATTCCGATAAACTGAGAACCTCATCTTTTTTGTAAGTCGGTTTAAAACGTAGGGACGAACCCGAGCGGAGCGAGGGTGAGTCGCTCGTTGATTTATAAAATATTAAATAAGTTGGACACTAAAAATATGCAAAGACTTGGATCTCACTATTGTTATGTAAGTTCAATGGCGAGTCTTTTTATCGAGAAAAAAAGTGCACAAAAGTCGATTCCTAAAAAGCTTATACTGATAATTTTTAATGGACTTCGTGATTACTTTTTTTAACTTAAAAACTATACCAAGAACATATGAATTTTAAGAAAACAAAACCACTTGTAAATAAAATTTTACTCCAAGTTTCATCTTTAATCCCTTCACGACCGCGGACACGCCGGCGTGTCAGTTAACAATAAATTTCTTAGAATTTAAATTAATTTCATAAAAATTTACCTGGAGGTGTTATAATTAGAAATTATATATTTACGCTTAATCATTTGTTTACATCAGCTGTCACTTAGTATTTATTAATATACTAAATTCTCGCCAGTCATTTCTGTCCAGTTTGAAGTGGAGAAACAAAGTGTCACACACACAGATAGATAGTTATCACATTACAGTTGATTACAGATAGATAGTAGACATAGATAGAAGGGTTATCTGAAAGGGTTCCTTATTTACTATTGAAGTCAGAACTCTTAAAACTACGAATATTTGCATACCTTTCAAAGGATAAGAAGCGGGCCATCCCACCGGTGAGATCGCCTGTGATATAGCTAGTATTTGAAGGACCCACCGCAGCCAGGGGGTGTCCCGAGCTGTCTGGACATATCCAAGGAATTTGTTCACAAACACATTCAAATTAATCATTTTTTGTTAATTACACTAAGAACAAATCATATATAATCGTAATTCTTTGAATTTCTCAGCAGCTATTTCAAACTAAAACTTTATTGGTGCTTTAATTTTATTAACGTTTACTGGTTATTCAAATAGAATGTATAGTAGTGCAACAGCTACTCGATCCGATTACATAAAAAAAATTAAAATGGGTATTATGTCACTGGGACATAACAAACATCGCCATAACTAGTTTAAATAATTATAGATTACGTTATTTACGAATAAAATTTACAACAACAACAACAACACGAAGAGACCGCGATTCATAAGTATACATAATAAACTGCATTTTTATACACTTTACATATCAGGAAACTCCAAGGCGAACCATGTTGAAACATTTTTCAACATCGTTCCTTGTAGGCCATTCGTATTAGTAGGACATTTATATATCTTATAAACTTGTTTTATTCACGATTGATTGATTGATTACCTCAAGATCACTCTCAGCATCTATTGGGACTTTTGGAAAACCTCCGAGAGACAAGTTGGAAGACGGAAAACTGATAGTAATTATCTGCGCCAGCATGTAACTAAGCTTTTATCTGCGGGAAAATAATAAAACGTCTAAATGTATATTGATATCTCCCTCCTCGAATGACCTCTTAACGACATGTTTGGCTCAGGTTGTAGTAACCCTACTTGATGTGCCAGCGGCCGCCGGTTCGAGTCCCGTAGGGAGAATTCATTTGTCTGGTATCCATATCTTTAACTAAATAAGCCTCGTAGCTTATTATAGAACTAGATGGTGATGTGTGTTAATGTCCCAACATAAAAAAGACTATGTGACATCTCTTACACTCCCGAGGGACAAAACTTCGACACGACCGGTATTGAGAGATCAGGTAGTTCATACCTAGTTCTTAATTCTCATTACGTTTTAAGTTACATCTATTTATATATAAATGAAAAATCCACCTTATATAGTCTAAGATCCCGATCTATGTGATGGACCCCTCGTTCTTTTTTCAGGCAAAATATATTTTTTAAACATTAAAACACAACCCAAAGGGGTTCTCACAAAAAATTTGCTCCGGGATTTAATTTAAAAAAAAGTAGTCATGAGGACTGCCAGAAGTGAAAGCTTAAAACTAGTTATAAACAAATAGTTGTTATTTTTGCATATTCAAATTAATTTTTGATCTTTGATTAAAATTTGTAAGTAGTTTAGTTCAACTTCACTTATAACACCTTATCTTATTGATATCTACATATATAAGTGTTTGTAATGTAAATTACAATTCAATTTCTTTCTTTAGTGCCTTCTTGGAATGCCGTGTTAATGTAAGTTATATAGATATCCGCAATATAGATTTTAAAACTTTATATATGACGAATTTATAAAATAGTGTAAGAAATATTGTAGCCAGCTGAGCATCCAGCTGACAGCATCACGTGTCTAGACACAATTAGTACCTATATTTATAATATACGTAATTCTAAATAAGTAACTTAGATACTTTGCTTCACTATCGTAGATTTCTAATTAATAACTTTCTTTCAGCACTCCTCCCAGATTGTATGAACGGTAAGAAAATATTTGTCTTGTCTTTTTTTTTTGGTACACCACAAGCAGTCGAATATTGTTAAGCTAGGCTTAGACGGAGTAGTAAAATTGTACATAATAAAATAATATACATAATTAGAAATCATGAATAATAATATTTTCATTAAAAGTCATTAATAAATTAACAGGAAATATTTAACTACTCCAAATTAATATGGAATATTTATTGATTATACTTTTAAAGAAATATTAAAATATAATAATTTAACAGTCAATATCTTAAAATTAAACATATTTTTCGAGTTACTAATTTTGTAATTATATGCTTATAAATAAATGCTTGAAAATAAATCAAATAGTAAGAAGTTCATAATTATATTATTACATTTAAAAATTCTGAAATACTATTGTTTAATTTAATAAAATTAAATTATGTAACGCGGGGTTTTTAGAAACAACGGTGATCGCGGGGCATCGTGTCGGTACATGTACAATCCTGTAGGGCCGTGTTTTGAGTTTTCGTGCGACCGTATAGTTTAGGCGCCTATTTTTTAAATACGAATTCAGAAGGTCGAGTGCCTTATTTCTAATACCATAGTAATGCAGTTTCCTGATCAGCGTCTCATGATGTACACAATCAAAGGCCTTGGATAAGTCACAAAATATCCAAAGTGCATCTTGTGAAGCTAACTGACAGTTAAGCTAAGTGACAGTTAAACTAACTGACAGTTAAGGAAACCTTCAGTTATACTAACTGACAGTTAATCTAACTAGCCGTTATTCTAACTTACTGTTAATCTAACTGACAGTTAAACTAACTGGAGGTTATACTAACTGACAGTAAAACTAACTGGCAGTTAAATTTACTGATAGTTAAGCTAACTGACAGTTAAGGAAACTATCAGTTAAACTAACTGACAGTTAAACTTACTGTGAGTTAAAATAACTGGAGGTTATACTAATTGACAGTTAAACTAACTGGCAGTTAAATTTACTGACAGTTAAGCTAACTGACAGTTAAACTAACTGGAGGTTATACTAACTGAAAATTAAACTAACTGGCAGTTAAATTAACTAACAGTTAAGCTAACTGACAGTTGAGGAAGCTGTTAGTTAAACTAACATTTAATCTAACTTACAGTTATCCTAACTGACAGTTAAACTTACTGACAGTTGATCTAACTAACAGTCAAATTAACTGACAGTTTAACTTACTGGCAGTTAAATTTACTGAGAGTTAAACTTACTAATAGTTAAACAAACTGACAGTTAACCTTACTGAGGACTGGATACCGATTCTTGCTGTACATGTTTGATTTTCTGGCTTTTCTCGTGGATTTTTGATTTTTCTTTCTGATTGGATTTGTTGTTGTTTTTGCGACGTTTGTCGCGTAGTTTGGGTGTGTTGCGTGTGTGTGCGATTGGCGAATGAGTCATGGCTGACTCAGACGCCAGCGCGGACACAGATGCGTCCATTGGGCGCAAGAGGACTGCTCCGCGTCCACCGTTGGCGGGCTCTACTGGCTCGGAAACGGAGACGGATGAGCGAGTCCGCGCCAAGGAGAACAAGGCGCGTAGGGGTAGGCCCATTGGGTCAGGGAGTGGCACGGTTCTTACCCGGGCGCGCGCGGATCTGCGCAGGATGGAGGCTGAGGCCAGGGAGGCGGAATTTGAGCGCGCGCTTGAGGCGCGCGCTTTTCGTAAAAAGACGGGCAAGGCAGACAAGGCAGTCTTTGAGTTTGGCTCAGACCTGTCTGCCCCTGAGAGCCGGGAGGATGCAAACGCTGCTATGGATGTGCAGGGCCTGCGGGCAGAGGCAGGGCGAAATGTGACGGAGATTTTCCATGTTGCCAGGACCTCTGGCAACTTGAAGGGTGAATATGTCCGCCGTCTCAAGACGGCTGCAGCGGCCCTAACGGGGATAGTGGACACCCTGGCGGCTCGTTCATCGAACGAAGAGACGAGAAAGGTTGCGGCCGATAATGAGAGGCTGCGTAAGGAGGTGGAGAACCTGAAGGCGGAGGTGAAGGCGCACCGTCGGCAGTTTTCCGAGATGAGGGCGAGTGCTCCGTCCTCCTCTCTGCCGGGGGAGGCTTTGGAGGAGCTAAGGGCCTCTCTTATCTCCTCGGTTGGGGCCCTGATCGATGCCAAACTTGCCGGCATCGAGGAGCGCCTGCTGCCGGCTAGGCCGCTTCGTCCGCCTCTTGCAGCGGACAAAAGAAGGGAGGCGGGTGCGCCGACGCCTGCCCCGAAAGAGCCTCGGAGTAAGCCAGCACCGGTGGCGAGTGCGGCTGGAGAGGGATCGGCGGCGCGTAGGCGTCAGCCTAAAGAGGCTAGGATGGCAGCCCCGGAGCGTCCTAGGTCGGAGCCAGCTCCACCAGCCCCTGTGGCGGGACCAGCTCCGCCGGCCCCTGTGGCGGGACCAAGTACTGCGGATGAGGGCACATGGGCGACGGTGGTCCGCAAGGGCAAAGGGAAGGGGAAGAAGTCCTCCCCCCCAGCGGCCCCGGCTGCCCCGGTGGGTGCAAAGTCGGCGCCAAAGACCCCTTCGGGGCCAAAGGCGCCTGTCGCGCAGAAGGCCCCTTCGGCGCCGGCTAAACCGAAGGTATCGGCTCCGCCGCGCACAGCGGCTGTTATAATAACGCTCCAGCAGGAGGCGGCATCGAAGGGTGTCACCTATGCCAAGCTGCTGGAGCGCGCACGGGCGAACATAGACCTGTCCCAATTGGGTGTAAGGGGCGGTCTATCAGTGAGGGTTGCGGCAACCGGGGCGCGGTTGTTGGAGCTTGCAGCCTCGGTGCCGCCTGAAGCGGCGGATAGGCTGGCGGATAAACTCCACCAAGTACTAGACGGGGTGGCGACCATCGCTCGCCCTGCTAAAATGGGTGAGCTGAGGGTGTCGGGCCTGGATGACTCGGTCACCAAGGAGGCGGTGGCCGAGGCAGTCGCCAGGGCGGGCGGCTGTTCAACGGAGTCTGTCTGGGTGAGCCGGGTCCACACCGGGAAAGGGGGGATGGGCATAGCTGTCATAAGGTGCCCAGTTACGGCAGCCAAAAAGGTGGCCGACGCAAGCCGACTTCTGGTCGGGTGGTCGTCGGCCAAGGTCGAGGTACTGGAGCAGCGCCCATTGCGCTGCTTCAGATGCATGGGTCTGGGGCATACCCTACCACGATGCCCATCGAGGGTGGAACGGGGGCGCCTGTGTTTCCGGTGCGGCAGCGACGAACACCATTCCGCTGCCTGCACCGCGAAGACAGTCCGCTGTGCGGTCTGCGCGGATGCGGGGCGCCCCTCTGGGCATATGATGGGTGGGCGGGATTGCAACCCACCCATCACGAAAGGCAAGACGGCTCCAGGGACCGGAGCCGTCGCTAGTGCCGGTAGCCGCCAGGCTGAGGAAGCAGTGATGTCATCTTAATGGACAGGCACACTCGCTTCCTTCAAGGGAATGTTAACCACTCGGCCGGAGCGCAGGACCTTTTCCTGCAGTCCATGGCCGAGTGGGAGATAGGTCTGGCGGTGGCCTGTGAGCCCTACTTTGTCCCTCACCAACCGAACTGGGTGGGGGACCTAGAGGGCTCCGTGGCCATAGTGTCTGGGAGCAGCACCGGCCCCCGTCTCTCGGCAATCGAGAGGGGCCAAGGACTTGTCGTGGCAGGGTGGGGAGAGTACGCCATCGTTGCGGTGTACTTCTCCCCCAACCGCAGTCTGGCGGAGTTCGAGATCTTCCTCGACTCCGTCCGCGCTGCGGTTTGCAGGCAGTCGCCGAGGCCCACTATCGTCCTCGGCGACTTTAATGCCAAGTCCTTGGCCTGGGGGAATCCCACGACGAACGCTCGAGGGCGAGCCGTTCAGACGTGGGCACTACTTTCCGGTCTGTCCCTGCTCAATGTGGGGACAGCGTTCACGTGCGTGCGACAGCAGGGGGGGTCCGTGGTGGACCTAACGTTCGCCACCCCCGCCGTCGCACGCAGGGTGATCAACTGGAGGGTAGAGGAGGAGGTGGAGACTCTGTCGGATCATAATTATATCCGATTTGAGATCTCCACCCGTCCGGTGCCGGTGGACCGCCCAAGGGGGCCTTCTCGAGCGTTTCCGAGATGGGCCCTGGGCCGGCTTGATACAGAGCTGGCCAGAGAGGCGGCCATCGTTGAAGCATGGTGCTCCCAGGGGAGTGTGGTGGGCGCCAGTTCCGATGTCGAGGAGCTGGCTGGCCGCATGTGCGACGCCCTTACGAGGGTGTGCAATGCGGCCATGCCGCGGACTAGGCGGTTCGCCCGGCATCGCCGGAGCGTGTATTGGTGGTCGCCCGAAATTGCACAGCTTCGGGCGACCTGCAACTGGTATAGACGGAGGTTTGTCCGGTGTCGCAGGAGGAATGGCCTGGACCCGGTTTTGGAGAGCGAGCTGCGGGTGGCCTATCGGTCAGCGAAGAAGGCCCTGCAGCTCGCTATCAGCCAGGCCAAGGCGGCGGCCCGCCAAGAAATGCTGGCGGGCCTGGATCGGGATCCATGGGGGCGCCCTTACATCAGCGCGCGGAACAAATTCCGCGCGCACGGCCCCCCGGTCACGGAGACCACGCCGCCCGAGGTCCTCCTGCGACTGATCGGAGGGTTGTTCCCGGAGTCGTCTGGGCACGTCCCCCCGGTGATGGCTCCTCCCACGCGCTCTGTGGGAGTTGAGGAATTCCCCCCAATCACTGAGGGGGAGATGGACCTAGCCCAGGACAAATTGCGGGCTAGGAGGACGGCTCCGGGACCGGATGGTATTCCGGGGCGAGTTCTGTGCATTGCCCTGGAATACCTGGGAGGGGATCTTCGGGACCTGTTCAACGCGTGCCTTCGTGTTGGGCAGTTCCCGAAGATCTGGAAGGAGGGATTATTGTGCCTGTTGCCCAAGGAGGGTCGTCCTCTTGACTCCCCTTCGGCATACAGGCCGATCGTGATGCTGAGTGAGATGGCCAAGCTCTTCGAGAGAATTCTCGTTGCCCGTCTTACTCAGCATCTCGAGGAGGTGGGGCCGGGCCTTTCAGAGGCTCAGTTCGGGTTCAGGGCGGGTCGGTCGACCGTGGACGCCCTGAACGCCCTGAAGGTTCGGTCCTTGGCCGCGGTGGAGGAGGGAGGCGTGCTGTTAGCCGTCTCATTGGATGTGGCCAACGCCTTCAACACCCTGCCGTTTGAGACGTTACGAGAGGCACTTCGGTACCATGAGGTGCCTCTCTATCTCCGGCGGGTGTTGGACGCGTACCTCCGTGACAGACAGGTCGTGTGGAAGGGGGCAGATGAGGTGGTCGGTCGGCGACGTGTCGACTGCGGGGTTCCACAAGGGGCCGTTTTGGGCCCGGTACTGTGGAACCTCGGCTATGACTGGCTCTTGCGTTGTCCGCTCCTCCCCAGGCTCGGTGTCATCGCCTACGCTGATGACACCCTCGTCACAGCCCGGGGTCGTTCCTATGAGGAGGCGGCACGCTTGGCCACAGTCGGCACCAATCTGGTCGTCGACCAGATAGGGATGCTGGGCCTGAGGGTCTCTGTCTCCAAAACGGAGGCCCTCCTCTTTCATGGCCCACGCAAGGGTGCCACCCGCAACGCCTGTCTGCGAGTCCAGGGTAGGATGGTGGAGGTTCGGGCCCATATGCGCTACTTGGGCCTGACCCTGGACGGACGCTGGACGTTTCGTGTCCATTTCGCCCAGCTCACCCCGAGACTGATCGGCGCCGCCTCGGCCCTCGGCAGACTTCTGCCAAATGTCGGGGGCCCTGGATCTCACTGCCGGCGGCTCTATGCCGGCATCGTGAGGTCCATGGCACTGTACGGTGCCCCCGTGTGGATTGACGCCCTCTCCGCACTTAACAGGGCCCAACTGCGCAAGGCGCAACGGGTCCTGGCGGTGAGGGCGGTGCGGGGATACCGTACGGTGTCCTTCACGGCGGCGACACTTCTGGCGGGCGATCCGCCCTGGGAACTCCAGGCGGAGGTGCTCGCCGAAGTTTATCAGTTTCGGGCGAGTGAGCGGGCTCGAGGGGAACGTCCAGCGCGGGAGGGAGTCGCTCGGATCAGGCGCCTAGCTGACGAGGCACTGATCCGGCGCTGGTGGGAAGACCTGGGGACTCCAGCGGCTGGCCTGGCGACGGTGGGGGCGGTTCGTCCGTTCCTGTCTCGCTGGGTCAGGCGGCCACACGGCGTCCTGACGTTCAGGTTGATGCAGATGCTTACCGGGCACGGGTGCTTTGGTAAGTATCTGTATCAAGTTGCGCGTCGGGAACCGTTGCCCGTATGCCACGAGTGTGGTGCGTCCGAGGACACCTCGCACCACACCCTCGCGGTATGCGCCGCTTGGGCTCCCCAGCGCCAGGCCCTGATGGCGGTAGTGGGTGGAGACCTCTCGTTGCGAAGCGTGGTGGGGGCCATGCTACGCGATGAGAGGTCCTGGTCGGCGATGGTCTCCTTCAGCGAGGCCGTCATCTCACTGAAGGAGACGGCGGAGAGGGAACGCGAGGCTAACGCCTTAGCAGACCCTCTTCGTCGCCGTCGGCTGGGGGAGAGGAGGCGCCGGTACGCGCATCTTCTCCCGCCACCCTAGAGGAGCTACTGCGGGGGGGTCTCTCGTTGACTCCCCTGCACGTCATCGGGGCGGTCGGGATGCTCTGTGAATCGAGGGCATCCCGGTTTAGGCGAGGCAGGCCCGCGGGGTACGGGCTGTCCGCAGGGGTGTTGCAGTGAATGCGCAAGCGATCCTGCACACCCCATTGCACTGCGGCGACGGGTTCCGCTGTGGGTTTTAGTGAGTAGGAGTCTCACAGTACCCTACCCATTGACGGCCGGTAGGGTCCCCATGATGGGTTTCCCCAGCGTCAACAAAAAAAAAAAAACCTTACTGAGAGACAACCAAACTGACAGTTATACTAACTGACTGTTAAGGAAACTATCAGTTAAACTAACTGACAGTTAAACTTACTGTGAGTTAAACTAACTGGAGGTTATACTAACTGACAATTAAACTAACTGACAGTTAAGGAAACTATCAGTTAAACTAACTGACAGTTAAACTTACTGTGAGTTAAACTAACTGGAGGTTATACTAACTGACAGTTAAACTAACTGGCACTTAACTACAACAACTTAAATACCTAACACCCTTTAGGGTAGAAAAATAGCTAATTACGAATTTAACCTACTTCTAAATGTCAGAATGATTTGAAACTTTGCAAGTTTTCAACCGACTTCAAAAAGGAGGAGGTTCTCAATTCGACTGTATGTATTTTTTTTTTTTTTTTATGTTTGTTACCTCAGAACTCCGTCATTTATTAACCGATTTGGACAATTTTTGTTTTGTTTGAAAGGGTGTACTTCCAGATTGGTCCCATTTAAATTTCAAAAAAAAATACCACCCCTAAGGGTGGAAAAACAACTAATGATGAATTTAACCTACTTCTAATTGTCATATTGACTTGAAACTTTGCAAGTATTTCTATTTCCGTTGATAGTACAGTAGGTTATAATCATATAGGTTCGGTGTTGTTGACCTGATCTGATGGCAAGGCTAGAAAGTGGATAGGTGGAACTCTTCAACGGCTAATAGTAGATACTTTGAGTTTGGGCTAATTTTGTTTGATTTGACAAGCCTAACACGTTAGAATCCTTACTTTGCTACTACTGTCTACACTAAAAAGGGAAAAATAAAAACTTTTTAACAAAAAAATAAAAACCGACTTCAAACAAAAGCACTAAAAAGTAACAAATAACTGATTGGTAGTTTTCATTTACTATACATACCTAATCAAATATTTTCGAAGTCGGTGTGCTTTGGCTAAGTAATTAAAGCCTACCTATTAAATACATACCTAATCAAATATTTTTGAAATCGGTGCCAGCCCATACAAAGCTAAGCACACCGACTTCGAAAATATTTGATTAGGTATGTATAGTAAATGAAAACTACCAATCAGTTATTTGTTACTTTTTAGTGCTTTTGTTTGAAGTCGGTTTTTATTTTTTTGTTAAAAAGTTTTTTCTATTGCCGTTGATAATGCAATGATTTGGAATCGTCAACCTGATGATGATGGTAAGGCCAGAAGATGGATAGGTGGAACTCTTCAACGGCTAATAGTAGATACTTTGAGTTTGGGCTGATTTTGTTTGATTAGACAAACCCTTGGATTTTAGAGCCTGATTTTTAGTGTTAGTAATAAAAACGTGTGTTACTTAATCATTTAATAAAAGGCGAAAGATTTGTGTGTGTTGAAGGGAAACCAGAGATTCTAAATCATTTAGCGTTTATTGAATAATAATTTGTCATGTACATATTGATGTATCATGTGTCAAAATATAACGTAAAACCTAACCTAATATTAGCGTATTTAAAACCCGATTTTACTAACTTGGTCACCGTCGGAGCCCATGAAAACTGGCCTTAGGACGTTTTTAAATTAATTAATTTATGACTTATTTTCAAGCCTGTAACACCGGGCCCAAGTTTGGAATGGGGAATGGTTTTGTCCTTTAGTTTGTCAGTCTTTATATAAAAACTAGCGACTCACCCTCGCTTCGCTCAGGGTTCGTCCCTAGGTTGATTCCCCATACAAACTTTCATCCCCATTTTCACCTCCTTAAGAGATGATTTCCAGGATAAAAAATATCCTATGTCCTTTCTAGAGTCTCAAACTATCTTCTTACCAAATTTCATTTAAATCGGTTCAGTAGATCCAGAGATTACCCCCTACAACGTCACAAACTCACAATTATTGAATTAACAAACTTTACCTCTTTATTATATTAGTATAGATTGGCATCAAACTAACTTAAAATGGCTTAAGCGAATATTTTATTAAAATACTTTCTTCTTACTTTGCTATATGTTTACACTAAAAATGGAAAAACAAAAACTTTTTAATAAAAAAATAAAAACCGACTTCAAAAAAAAAAACAATTAAAAATAACTGATTGGTAGTTTTCATTTACTATAGATACCTAATCAAACATATTCGAGGTCGGTGCCAGCCGATACAAAGGAAAGCACAACGAATTCGAAAATATCTGAATAGGTATCTATAGTATGTAATGAAAACTAACAATCAGTTTTTTTTTACTTTTAAGTTTTTTTTTTGAAGTCGATTTTAATTTTTTTTTTAAGTTTTTTTGCATGAATGCTTCTTGGGCTATGCATTATTTAATGATGGTAGGTCATTGATTGTTAATACAGGAATTTAAAAATATTTTATTTTTTTCGTTCCAAAACAGGAACAGGATAGGTTTGTCCGAATATGTTATGAGGAAATACGGATATTATGTTAGTTCGGGTATTATGGATATGTTAGTTAGGATATGTTTACACGGATGCGTTAACACAGATACATTAACCCGGATTTAATTTTAAAGTTTATTTAGATTTTTAATATCGCACTTCAATTTGAGAATAAAACTCTTTAGTTTTATTAAATTGTACAAAATATATCGTTTAATTACGCTTACTTCCCCTTGCTTTTTCTCCATGTAGCAGTGTACATCCATGTATGTACTCTATGCCCGTATCTTTTTTAGTCTACGATAATATGTAATGACACATGAGTACATTAACTAGCACTGCCAATTGGCGGCATGCTATGAATGAAGTACGAAAAAAAAAAAATTTATGTTATAGGTGTTTATGTGGCACTTCTAAAAACCATAAAACAATCAATGCAAATAAATGTTTTTATAACATTAAGAAATTTAGAAAATACTAAAGTAAATTTCGTCGATTCAATCAATAATGGAATTCGAAAAGACTGCCGAACTAACCTTAAAAAGGTAAAGTATTTGTTTATGTTTTTATTGATAAAAACCTATTATACAATAGCGTTCTGTGATAAAACACGAGATATGAGATGTACATTAATTGTATGTTATATTAATCATATGTAAATAAGTAAGAAGTTAACTGTAAGCACAATTTATGTACGTAATTATATACTAATAATGCCTATACATTTTTTTATTATTTAGGTTTGAAGCTGAACATATAGAACAAAAAAAGCGGAACGATTACATCGATTGGGTTGATTATTTTATGGGAATTGCATTTTTAGCTGCTAAACGAAGCAAAGATCCTAAATTTCAAGTTGGTGCATGTATTGTTAATAAAAACAATGTTATAGTGAGCATAGGGTAAGTTATTTGATAAATAACTTTTGGCTTAATCTTTCATTCTCTTCTTAGATTTTCTAAACAGTCATATCTTATACTTTTTGATAAAAAAATTACTAAAAAATTATATGAATTTTAAGGTATAATGGCATGCCACAAGGGCATGATAAAATTTTTCCATGGACCAAACTTGATTCTACTAACGGTGATTCTTTATATAACAAATTGTTATACGGTAAGACAAACTTTTAAATAATTTAACGTTATATTTTAATGAAGTTACAAAATTTATTTACATTCAAGTATGCAACACTATAATCATGTTTATGAAAAGACTATTAGAGTTGATTTGTCTATTATTCTTTAGCACCTTGATTGTAGTTGGATTTGAATAGTTTTATTAACTCTAAATAAAACTATCTAAATTTCAGTGTGCCATGCAGAATTGAATGCAATAACAAATAGAAATTCAGCAGACCTGGGAGACTGTACTCTATATGTGACGTTATTCCCATGTAATGAGTGTGCTAAATTGATAATACAGTCCGGCATCAAAGAAGTGGTTTATTTTTCAAACAAAAAATCACATAAAACAGAATTTATTGCATCAAGAGTAATGTTTAAGGCAACTGGAGTGAATTATTGGTATGAGCTCCTTTATTAACTACTAGCAAGTCACCCTCGCTTAACTTTGAGTTTGCCCCTAATGAAAAACAAAAACAAATCTATCCCATGTTAACCATACATTTTTCCAGGATAAAAAGTAACCATGACTCCATCCTCACCATTCCAGACTATAATCTATCTCTGTGCCAAATTTTATTCAGATCCGTTCAACCGTTCTGGTGTGAAAGAGTAACAAACATCGATCCATCCATCAATCCTTACAAACATTCACATAATAATATTATTCGTATGAATATTAGATATTATGTAGAAAAATGACTCCAATAATGGCTTTGACTGTACAATAATATACTAGCAACATTTTTTCATTTTGTTTAGGTGCTACCCTAGGTACCTTACAGTAGCCTATATTGTTACTACAAGTCATAATTTATGTGTACACTAAATTTCATCAAAATCCATCCAGCTTTTAATGTGTCGGAATAACAAACATACACGAGAAACTATCGCAGATTTACAAAGCATCAGTCTTCTCTCGCCCACCAGGTAACTGCTCAAGTTGTTTTAAATTCATAAAATATATTCATTCACTTATATTTTGTTCACATATTTATTTAATAGTATCCCTGTATATTCCCTAATCTAGGAACAAGTAATACATATTATTTTGGCCTCATATTAAACTACTATATCACTTACAATGAAATGAAATAAACTTTATTCAATTAGGTTTATTACAAGCACTTTTGAATCCTCAATTTAATTTGACGACACATTTGGCTGTTTGTAGAGATCCTACTTGCTGTGCCAGCGATCGCGGGTTCGAGTCCCGCTGGGAGCATTCATTTGTGTCATGAGCACAAATGTTTGTACTCCAGTCATGGATGTTTATATTTTTAATATGTATTTAAAGCTGTATTTGCGTAGTGTATCAACTATCTGGTATCCATAACACAAGCCTCGTAGCTTACCATGGAACTAGATGTCGCTGTATAATGTCCCAACATATTTATTATTTATTTAAGCTTCAGTATAGTCAGTCCATGTGGAACATTAAATATGATAATTTTATTGATGTTTATTTTTTACCTTGTAAATTAAATAAGATATCTTTTAATTTATAATAATTTAAACTTGATTATTTATTGCAGGCAATATAAACCAAAGCAGGATAAAATAGAAATTATTTTTCCAGAAAGTGATTATACAGATGATGAGACAGTAGTCGATGAGGATATTGAAGCGGAAGCTAAGCTGATGAATAAATTAAAATTAAGCAATTGATTTAACTATTAATAAAAACTGTTTGTCGGACTGACCGACGGGATTTACAGACGTACTGTATATTTTTGACATTATGAACTAATTATATAGGTATAATAAATGAAAGAAATGATGTAAATAAATTTATAAAATAAAGTTTTATTACGTTATGTACAAGATGACGGGTACAAAATACTCCGATCACACCAAAAAAACAAATAAACATGGTTGTCTATCGACTTATTAGAACAGCTCCTCACCACTGCACCGGGTACAAACAGTCATTGATGTTACATACTAACATGTTACTTGGTTGGAAAACATAATAATAATTATTTTTAATGAAATTACTTCAATATTGAAAACTATTTCTTTTTGACATATACATTAACTAAAAATAAACGCCTTTATTTTCTAATTGTTTATTTTTAACTTGCTTCCTTCTTAATTAATGAGATATTTATTTACTATAAATTTATAAAACAATGCCATCATAGTATCTATATCATGAATAGCTATTATTAGCTTAAATTAAGTCTGAGTTAAGTCAAAACTTTTGAGTACTCTGTGGAAATGTAGATTTTGATGCACTCAATAATAATAATTATTATTGTCCAAACTTTACAAATATCTACAAAAAAAATGTCGATAGAACTGCTTTTGTCTGTCCATATTACATTTTCGTACAGTCAATAATTTTCAATGACAAAAACAATTTTTTTCTAATGGTAATTGATATTGTACAGTAAAAACTTAATTATATAAGAATTATTTACAAAGCGTACCTTAGTAAGTCAATATTGCATGAGGTCTAAGCCACACATTTTTACATTAAAACCAGCCATTTATTATAAATCCTTATTATTATTTGAATATTGTTGAACACTTGAGGTTTCATCGAACTTCGTATATATTTCAAGACTATTTGAAAATGGCTACATATTATTCGATACATTGTCACATCAGAAAAGAAAACTAATAAAAAAATTAAAGGAATTATAAAAGTAGGGATTATAAAAGTTCATCACAGGAAGGATTTAACAGTTGAAGCCTTAAATAAAAAACGTCACCGAATTATCGATCTAATATAATCGATTAAAGATTTATAAAATCGATCAAAGTATTTTTAATGTCGATATGAAGTTTACTGTAACAGATCTCCATAAAAAAAATAACTTTTGTTACAATTGTTTTCATATACATGAAACATAAAACATTCAATTATAGCAGTGCCTATGTCCTATAGTAAAAATATATAAAATCAATATCGACAATTGTATACACATTAAAAATTTAGGCTAGAGTGAAATCTTAGAGTTCTTCCCGTGACGACCACGACTTGAAAAATTTGTACATAAATAACGAATTTGTTGACTTTCCAACAAAGCACAAGCGATTCAACTAATGGGACTTATAATCTATATTTGAGGAACATTTTCAAATGACACACAAGTGTGTTCACTTACTTTGGAGCATGCATGAAGAGGGTAGTTGGTATTTTATCATTAATCAAACAGTATCAACACTTGGCATTGACACTTAAATGTAATATCCTAAAACAAATGTATCAAAGTTATTGCCATTAATAAATTCATTTAAATCGCTAGTTATATATTTCGTTATTACTGTATCCCAAAACAAAAATAAAATAGCAACACAAACATAAATTTCTTTTTTGTGTTAAAGAAATATACAAAATGAATACATTATGCCTTTACAATAATAACGCGTGTTCAAACAGATTAAATAAAAAACGTTTTTGTTCACATTCTCAAACTTGCCAATCATTTGTGACTAATATGAAGAAACACCCAAACTGCTTACTTTACACAATATAATATATTTAATACTCCTAAATTGCTAGGTATGCTGTGTGAGTAAAAGTGACATAGTATTTGTGACAGCAAACGAATTATTTTATTACTAGTGACTCACCCTCGCTTCGCTCAGGTTCGTCCCTAGGTACGTTTTGACGCTTAGCGTGGAATAGATTTTTTTTTCAATTTTTTTTCGTGAATTTTTCCGGTGTTTTAATTGTTATTCTGCTATTCGGGGTAAAAACAAATCCAACAAAATAAAGATCATAAAAATCGGTCCAGCAGTTCTCGAGTTATGTGTTGTAAAAAAATATCTGTCTTTGTTTTATATATGTATTTTATTTATTGTATATTTTGTATTTTACATACAGACACCAAGTAGATAGATAGATATATAAAGGGTTTGATAATAATTATGATAGTCATGATGCATATGTATGCATAAATATATAATAGAGGATTAAACTGGCTTAATTTTATTTTTCTTTGAAGTAACCTTGTTTAAAAAAATCTTATTTTTAATAAAAAATATATGGAAAACATTACAATTTTTTTTTATTTATTTAAATATCCAATATTCAAGGCAGTGGTAGCGCGTTCGCTTCGGAAATCGAGTGAAGCGGGTTCAAATCCCGGGGCTCGCATTTCCGATATTTCTATGTGCGAATCTTTTCCAACATGATTACCACTTGTCTTACAATGGTCATGAGGAAACCTGCATGTCTGAGAGAACCTAGCAAGATTTCGAAAAACATGCAGTCAACCACTTGGCCAGCGTGGTGAACTATGACCGGATCCCACCTAAGTCCAGCAGTGGGACATTAAAAGGGGCTGAATACAAACAAACAAGTAAATATTCCGAAAAAAATATCGAAAATAATTATACGAAAATTATAATCATCACGTACATATAAATCCATATATGTATGTAGGTATATAAATATATGCGATTGTCATTTTCAATATAGACTGGCATACAGCTTATAGGAGTATTAGATATTATATGAATTTACATTAGTTGTCAATAAAAATTTTATATTACTAATTCGAAATGCCTTCGTCCATAATCATAAACATCCCTCATTATGTACACGTTTGATTTTAGTAGGTACTTTATTATATTGGTCTTAAAAATTTTATACGAATTGAAAACGAAACTTGTCGTTTTAGAAACATTTCATTTATCGGTTATTGTCTGTGTAGTTTGGCTATAAAATTTAGTACTTCGTGCAATTATAAAAAAAAATTAAGCCTAATTACAGTTAAAAAATATTAGAGTTGCCAAATAAACAATTTATAAAAGTAATTTAACGCCACATTAAAACGTATGTTCATTAATTATTATTATAAATAAAATCCTTCACACACGTTAAGAATAAAATATTTTTTTATTATCACATTAACAAACACTGAATTAAAATTGAACAAGGGATGTTTACAAACAGGCAACATAGCAGCTAATAATGATGAGTCGTTCACTCCATTTTAACTATACACAAATGATTCTTAATGAAAAGTCATTTAAAAAAAATATTATTCTTTCTTTGCCACCTAAAAATAACGTTTTAAAATTCGGACGCACTTTGGATAATAACTATTATTGCTTTAAAATACATTGAACCCAATTTATTTTAAAAAAAATAACAAATCAATATCGAAAATCTTCGGCAAAATAGTCAATGAAAATAAGAAAAACCAAACTAAAATGTTAGAGAATAACGTGGCATTTTCGGTCCCGGGTTTGATGCCGGCGCGTACCCAAAGTGCTTCAACTTATCATTGTCAAGTTGCTCTCGAACTAGAATTCCTCGGGCTTAAAGGCCATAGCGTAAGGGAACTTCTTATGACAAGCCTCTATGTAGTCTTCGATCTCTTTCTCACAAGGTCCAAAGTCACCGTCTTTGAGACTGTCTAGAACTTCAACACAACCCTGCAATTTAAAAATATTATTGCTTTTACGCAGTTATCATTTACATAAAAAATATGTTGGAACAGCAACACACAGCACCATCTAGTTCCATGGTAAGCTACGAGACTCGTGTTATGGATACTAGATAGTTGATACACTACACATATATAACTTTAAATACATACATATTATAAATATAAACACCCATGACTGGAGTACAAACATTCGTGCTCATCACACAAATGAATGCCCCCGGCGGGACTCGAACCCGCGACCGCTGGCACGGCAAGTAGGGTCACACGAACATGTCGTCAAAATAATATATACATTTGTTTCATTTATAGGATGCGACTAGTTATGACTACAATATTTAATTAAACGTCTAAGTCCTAAGAGCTTTCAAAGTATTAACCGAATTCATAAAATGGTTTCAAAATTTATTTACATACTTTATTCGTGTACATATTTTATTCGTGTATGTTATGTTATAACTGTAACTTGCCACGAGATGAAACTCAAGTTATATAGTCTGAATATTGATATTTCCATTAAAATTCATAATCAATCGCATACTGTATAAACTACTTTAATAAACTAAACTGCTATAGTTCGCTGACATAATATACAGTAAAAATAATATGTCTTATAAGTGACGATTTCGACCAATTGTGTAGAGAGACTATTAGGTATATAGTGCACAAGTATGTGAGTAGGGTGAGAGGAATAGAGTACACTTGTTACAAGTGCACTCTATTTCTATCACTTTCCGATTCTTTTACGTACCTACACCCCCCCCCTCCCCCCACCCCCGACAAGGTGACATATGTGCATAGGTTTGTTGATAAAATATCGATACATCGATGTATCGATATTTTTGATTCGATATATCTATAGCTTTAGCCGCTATATTTTGATCCGATACATCGATACAAAATATTCAATATCGAAGATCGTATCAAAAACGACATATTTTTTTTCCAAATTACCTTATTAGCCGTAAAAACTAGTTTATTGGAAGTGGGTAAAATACATTCGTTTTTATTAATATTCTCATGCAATAAAATTATGTGCATTTTATATAAAAAAACACTATTACCTATTATTAATCCAGACTGAACTAAATACATTATTATTTTAAAATCGAAAATCTCTGAAAATTTGAATATCGAGGTCGATATTGATATTTTAATAAATATCGATATATCGCTGTCGATATATTTTTTCACTGCCGACATCCCCAGCCCGCCCGTCGCAAGCAATGTACCGACCTGTATGGTGACGTCGGGCAGGTC